TTATCAGGCAGTATGTGCAGTAGAGGAGTGTGGAGGGTATGCTGGCAGGCAGTATGTGCAGTAGAGGAGTGTGGAGGGTATGTTGGCAGGCAGTATGTGCAGGAGAGGAGTGTGGAGGATATGACGGGGGGCAGTACATGCAGGAGAGGAGTGTGGAGGATATGACGGGGGGCAGTACATGCAGGAGAGGAGTGTGGAGGATATGACGGGGGGCAGTACATGCAGGAGAGGAGTGTGGAGGATATGACGGGGGGCAGTACATGCAGGAGAGGAGTGTGGAGGATATGACGGGGGGCAGTACATGCAGGAGAGGAGTGTGGAGGATATGACGGGGGGCAGTACATGCAGGAGAGGAGTGTGGAGGATATGACGGGGGGCAGTACATGCAGGAGAGGAGTGTGGAGGATATGACGGGGGGCAGTACATGCAGGAGAGGAGTGTGGAGGATATGACGGGGGGCAGTACATGCAGGAGAGGAGTGTGGAGGATATGACGGGGGGCAGTACATGCAGGAGAGGAGTGTGGAGGATATGACGGGGGGCAGTACATGCAGGAGAGGAGTGTGGAGGATATGACGGGGGGCAGTACATGCAGGAGAGGAGTGTGGAGGATATGACGGGGGGCAGTACATGCAGGAGAGGAGTGTGGAGGATATGACGGGGGGCAGTACATGCAGGAGAGGAGTGTGGAGGATATGACGGGGGGCAGTACATGCAGGAGAGGAGTGTGGAGGATATGACGGGGGGCAGTACATGCAGGAGAGGAGTGTGGAGGATATGACGGGGGGCAGTACATGCAGGAGAGGAGTGTGGAGGATATGACGGGGGGCAGTACATGCAGGAGAGGAGTGTGGAGGATATGACGGGGGGCAGTACATGCAGGAGAGGAGTGTGGAGGATATGACGGGGGGCAGTACATGCAGGAGAGGAGTGTGGAGGATATGACGGGGGGCAGTACATGCAGGAGAGGAGTGTGGAGGATATGACGGGGGGCAGTACATGCAGGAGAGGAGTGTGGAGGATATGACGGGGGGCAGTACATGCAGGAGAGGAGTGTGGAGGATATGACGGGGGGCAGTACATGCAGGAGAGGAGTGTGGAGGATATGACGGGGGGCAGTACATGCAGGAGAGGAGTGTGGAGGATATGACGGGGGGCAGTACATGCAGGAGAGGAGTGTGGAGGATATGACGGGGGGCAGTACATGCAGGAGAGGAGTGTGGAGGATATGACGGGGGGCAGTACATGCAGGAGAGGAGTGTGGAGGATATGACGGGGGGCAGTACATGCAGGAGAGGAGTGTGGAGGATATGACGGGGGGCAGTACATGCAGGAGAGGAGTGTGGAGGGTATATTAGTGGGCAGTGTGTGGAGGGTATGTTGGCGGGCAGTAAGTGCAGGAGAGGAGGGTGGAGGGTATGTTAGCAGGCAGTATGTGCAAGAGAGGAGTGTGGAGGGTATGTTAGCAGGCAGTATGTGCATTACAAGCAAGGTCCGCATGTACTCTCTAGTCTACTCCCCCCTTTAAAAATCACTTGCCTCCCTTACCTCTGTTCTCCGCAAGATCCCTGAAAAATGGAAAGCAGGAGACTCCAGTCCATTGCAAGAGCATGTTCCTGTCAGGTTTCAAGAAGATGCAAAGGACAAATAAGCTATGCAGATATGTTTATGAATAGCCCCCTTTAGGTCATGGTGAGCTTGTTGCATTCTCATTTCTTCCTTCTGCCGTCTCCCGCAGCCATTATTAGGGGTCCCTCTGTTGGTGAGGAGTAGTCTTATCATGGTACACATGGTACTTTTTATACATGGCATTATAAGAATGAGTTAATGAAGGATGTTTATCTTGGCAGATAGGTGCTGGGCCCACTAGGTGGCATGAGCTCAGTAGTCTATTTTGAGTCTATGAATGATGTGGAAAGGAAAAACGGATCTGTTTGTGCCCAGCACCAGTCAGACTCAATCTGCCATTTTCCTGATGCAGGTTTAAAATTGAAAACTAAAATTTGATTGGTTGTTCTGTGCAACGCTTCTACTTTAAAGCTGACCACACGCAATAGAACCTGCTTTTCCTGACAGTTTGTATTCCTGTTGACATTGACCAGGCTGTTTTCCCTTAGGCTAGAAAAGCTAATGTCAACGTGTTATGTCTTTCAGAATGGGCAGACGGCCCTAATGATTGCAGCAGAACAAGGAAACTTCGAAGTGGTCCAGGAGCTGCTCGGGAAGAGGGCCAACTGTAATCTCGATGATGTGGTACGTGTCTATACCAGGTGCCTGCAGTCTTCTCAGTGCAGGGGAACTACAGGTCAAAGCAATAAAACATGTCTTTGATGCTAGTAGAGCTGCACCTCTGAATCAGCGACAAGCATTGTATTCAGATAGCCTTTCAGCCTGACATCACCAAGTGTGGTGCCTTCTGGGAACCCATGAGTCTCTATGATGCACACTGCAACAGAGCTACTGTAACCGGGGCCTTGCTCCTTTATTATACATCACCTATTTAAAGTAGAGGTGTACCAAAATGGAAATTTCAAAATAAAATGAAAAAAAGTCAGGCTGAAACCGAAAAGGTTTATTTTCTTTTTCAATTTTTTTACAATTTTTTTATAAACTTTTTATTTTTTTTATATTTTATTTTTATGAAATATTTTTATGTTTTACTTTTAGGTGCTTCAGGGAAATATTGCAGGTCTATAACAGACCCCTGATATTTCCCTTTTTAAAATGTAAAAAGAGATTCTCTGTCCTCCAATCTCTTTTTCTGCTTTCCCTGTTTATAAATGAACAGGAATCCTCTATACTGAGTATTCCTGTTTGTTCATAACTTGAGGACAGAGTATGGTTACCATAACCACAATCATGAATGAACAGGAGGTGATGAACACTCCCATCCATTCATAATTGAGGACACAGTAACTATTCTATGTCATCAATTATTTGCAAACACTCAGCGATCACTGACTGCTTGCACTCGCTCTCCATCCTGACAGCTGTCACAGGCGGCTGAGCGAGCGGCGCGGGAGGAGAGCCCAACCTCCTGTGACAGCACTGCAAGCTGTCTCTGCCTGCACACACCGCTCTCCTCTGATCTGTGACGGGGCTGAGCGGATTGTGAGGAGAGAGACCGGCCGCTAACAGCGCTCTCCTCCCGCAGCGCTCGGCCGCCTCTGACAGTTTCTCTCCTCCCCGCTGGGACACAGCGCAGCACCCAGCGGGGAGGGGAGAAAGAACGGATGCACCACTATTTTGGCCAGAAAATGGCACTTTCGTCATTTTGCCAAAAGTGACATTTTTGGCCGATCTATCGGTGCATTCCTAATTTAAAGGGTTGTGCAGTTTTGTGTAGATTATGTATACTTGGTTTTATGTTTTTGGGGAGGTGGAATAATGCAAGACTATCCAATCAAAATGTGCTGGGATGGGTGATTTTAGTATGCAAGGATTTCTCAGCCCCTTTCCTGTGGAGAGGTGGATGATTTCTAATCCATTTTGTGCCATATGTTACCCAACTGGCTTACATTTCTTCACCCGCTGGAATTTCTAACCTGTGTGTCAGTTTGCAGAAATGATTGAGCTTGCTCCATTACACAGAATGGATGGTGTTATGACACCGCAGACTTTGTGGTGATTTTTCTTAGTCATATTCAGGATAACTCCTCTAGTGGAAGCTGCATAATGTCTTGTTTTCTAAACATACACTTATCCTGCATCCCATAATTCTACCGTGGGTGTATACTATCATTAGCCGAATACCTGCCGAAAACACAGCCCGTAGCACAGGTCTTCATACCTCCTATATAGGAGACCGGTAGAGGACACTTCCATGTCCACCTGGCATGACTATTTGGTAGGGGGGTTATAGATCACGGTCTATTCTGTATTGACCTGTGTTGTCTGCTTTGCTAAATCCTTTGTTTTTTATTCCTTATCAGGATAACTGGACGGCTCTCATTTCTGCTGCCAAAGAGGGACATTTGGAGATTGTTAGAGAGCTACTGGACTGCAATGCCTACCTGGAACATCGTGATATGGTATGGATTATATTATGTGATAATTATATATAGGATCAGTATTGCTGAAGAGTTTGTGTGATCATAGTTTAGCCACTTTTATGAAGTTAGAGCAATAAGGAGCATGAAGGCTGCTTATTGATGTCTAAGAAGAGTGAGCAGTTAGAAATCTGCTTGCACTCAAACCTGCCGGGACCCAATGCAATCCCTTCTTCAACTCGGAAAAGGCTCAGTGGTGGGGCATAGCCCTGATTGCTTCTTTCTCTTCTTTCATTAGAGAAAATAGGTATATGTATGCAGGTGACATGCGTAACGTCAAGTGTTTGTGTGTTTCTTTTTAGCTTTCATGTTAGTAAGTTTAAATAGATTACGTTCTCTATATAAAAGATTAATTAGAATCTTCCGTCTTGACCATATGTTGCAGCTAGAGAAGCAGGAGGTAATTGTCTGATTCAAAAGTGCGGGCCGTCATATGACTTGTTTCTAATGGTGCTTTTTTCTTGTCCTCTGTCAGGGAGGATGGACCGCTCTTATGTGGGCCTCTTACAAAGGATGCACTGACGTGGTGGAGCTTCTACTCTCTAAAGATGCAAATCCAAACATAACTGGCTTGGTAAGTCATCTCCTTTATTCCCTTGTACTATTTTTGTGAAGATTTTGTAGTAAAACAGGTTTTATTTTCAATCTGACATTTTATATCCATTCTGTTTATATGAAGTATCGGTGCAGAGTATTTGGGCCTGATATTTGATGCCTAGCTTGATACTTCCGGTATCAGGAAGCCGGCAGCGCGTCATTACATGTTGCCTGGCTTCCTGATTGGCCAGAAAGCTGGCTCCGTGCTCTCTCGTCACGTTTTTTTCCAGGTAGCCCTTTTATACAGGCTTCACCCATTTCATGGCATTCACAGAGCTTTTTAGGTTTTCTAAGAGGAGCACTGCTGTAGCATTTCTTTTTGTGACTCTCTCTCCTTTTCATTATGAAAAATATCTTGCAATACTTTCCCTTTCAAAAAAAATTAAACGTTTACTTTTGCTTTTAAGGAATCCTTTTTGGTTGACCCTTCTGCTTATTGGGCAGGTGCAGTTGCAGTTCCACCTGAAGGTGAAACTGGGCATTGAGGCCAAGTGATTGAGATAGACTTCCTTATATTTGGCTCAGGAGAATATAAAAAGCACGGTGAAGGTCTGACCATGGATGAGGAGGATGATGATAATGGTGTTGTAGGGAAGCCATGCAGTTGCTTATGAAAGCTTAATTTAGGTTTCTCTATGTGAATACTGCTTGTACAGTATTGTGAATTTAAGTATAAATACCTTCTCTGTTTCTCCGACATCACCTGTCAGACATCTAAAGTGCAAAGGTGCCCACACACCTTGCGATAATCGTACGATAATCGCGAGATATCCCACGATCGTACGATTATCGCAAGGTGTGTGGAAGGCGACCTCTCCTACTGTAAGGTCGCACGACTTATCTTATGAACATGTTCGAAAACCCGCCAAGAATCGTACGATTGTCGGCGGGTGTGTAGCATGTTCACAAGATAAAAACCGCACGGGCCGGTGTGCGCAAGCGCACACTGCCCGTTTAGCATTGCGGTCATCGGAAGCCCGCCCCTCAGTAGGGCAGCTTTGCGATCATCGCAAGTACGATGTGCCTGCCCAAGATAGGCAGATCGTACGTTTTTTTAATTACCTTACAACCATCGCAAGACAAAAGTCTTGCGATGGTTGTAAGGTGTGTGCCCAGCACAACACAGACATCTGACAGTGATCCCAACTCTTCCAGATGCTATTTTTTGCTTGAGCTATACTTTGTGTTTATAGATTAAAATGGAAAGAACTAGCAAGTTAATGACTGAAGCTTAGAAAAAAGTTATGCTTAGCATAGTTTTGGTTGTTTTGCTTTCAAAAATCAAGAATAAATATGGTGAATGTTGCTACAATCCACATAGTCTGTTAGTCACTACCAGGTGTTGATTGCATTTGCATAATTGGAGTCTAGGAGGTGTTATTAACCTGCCCAGAGAGAGGTGTTAAGGTGCCCATACACCTTACAATTATCGTCCGATAATCGTATGCGATCGACTTTTCGTACGACAATCGTAAACGTGTGAATAGAGTGCCCGACCGATAGTACTGTACAATCGTATGACTTTTGACGGTCAAGCATGTTTGAAAACTTTGGTCGATCGTAAGATGTTCGCATGGTTGGCGGCGTTACCGTCCGTCAAAAGTAATACGATTAACACTGCGCAAATGAAAATAATTGCGGTCAATTACCGCAAGTCGTCCAGGTGTTTTTTTTTAACTACTATACATTCACCATATTTATTCCCAGATAATTTTTGTACAAGTCATTCTGAATGGAGAAAGCCGGTTGGATGTTCAGTGAAACAAATACAGCAAGTCCAGTTATTTTTTACAGATATTACATTGCAGTAGTTTACCCTGATTTAGGTGATATCATGAAAGGAGGGTGGAGGCTCCGGATGTTTAAATTAGCAACATAAATCCTGTTTTCATAAAAAAAATAAAAATCAGTGTCAGTGGTCTTTAGTGTGCCTCAGAACTGCTTCCCTCCCCATACTAGTCTATTGACATGGAAAAGCAGGTTGATGCAGCTTAGGAGGTTTAAATGTGGTCAATGGCAGGTAAAATTAAACTGACAATGAGCTGTGAATCAACTCCGAGGCATCTCAAACTTATCCCAAGTGCAATCACAATACATTTGAAGGCCCCTTGACACGAGCCAGAGCCCAGTAACAACAGCACCAGCACTGCCTATAACAGGAGAGCTTATATGGGTAGGGATATCTGAGCTTCTGTTGCTGGCTTGTGTGTGGGTTTTGGGCTGTTGGTATGATTTGCCTTCACTACCTAGTAGGTTAGTGACACGCTAGGTGAAGATAAGTTTGCAGTAGGGATGCACAGATACTTTTCGAGTACCAGTGCAGATACTTGGCATTTTCATGAGAACTACAAGGGTTGCAGAGGTTGCAGCTGGGACCTGGCTCTGGTGCTCCACCACTCCATCATTAGTCTGTATTGTTTTAGAAAAACTGTCACATGACAATAAACATAAATGTATCAGTACTTGTACTTGTAAGTACTCGGCAAGTACTCGTACTCACAAAACTGGTATCTGTGCATCCCTTTATTTATATTTATAAAAATAAAATCATACATTAAAACAGAGATGTACAAATCCCAGGATCTCCGTGTGCTCCTTACAAATGACAGCTGCCTCCTAATTTTTGCATTTTTCTCTAGTGTAGTCTTGGAGCTCAAAAATATCGGTACATGTACTCGTACTTGGTATCTGTGCAACCCTAGTTTGCAGGATGGGAGTTTATACCTTTTCTTACTTCTCTGGGTGCATGCTTTTTGCAGGTTATTGACTCAGATGGCAAAGCTAAAATGGAGAAGACTGCCTAGAGCACACATCTATAAAAATAAGTCGGCGATGGCAGCTCCCATATATCCATCCTGAGGTCCTGTACTTATTCATTGCAGTTAAGGTTGCTATAGGTAACCGTGCTAAAATGACTTATTCAATGTAAGTGACACAAGCTGTTACATTTGCCACAAATAAGTTCATGCATGTAGCCACAGATGCCTTCACAGTCCAGACAACCTCAGGTTACATGTAAGTATATACTGACTCACAGGTAGTTATTTGTGGGTGTTCTTGGTTTTTCTCGGTGAGATCTGAAATCGTTCTTACGTTTCTCCATGAAGCAATTAACATAAGTGCAAAATCATGACTTTTCTTCTGGTCTCTTTCAGCAATACAGTGTGTACCCAATTATCTGGGCAGCCGGGCGAGGCCACTCTGATATATTGAAACTTTTGCTGCAGTACGGAGCCAAGGTCAACTGCTCTGACAAGGTGGGTGCCTGCAAACCTCTACTGTCACCCTGGATTGCAAAACATTTGTGGGGAATGGACTTCCAGGTTCTGGACAACTGTCTTAAAAGATCAGGACATTTTCTGTGTTCCTGGATAAAGTGATGGCAGGTCACTTATGAAATAATAACGTGTATAGAAACTAGAGGTGCACCGAAATGAAAATTTCAAAACCAAAATAAAAAAAGTCCCGCCGAAAATGTTTTTTATTTTCACTTTTTCAAGTATTTTTTTTTTTCTTTCTAAACAGACCCCTGATATTTCCCTTTTAAAATAGAAAAAGAGATGAGTCCTAAATCTTTTTCTGCAGCCCCAGTTATAAATGAACAGGAATCCTCTATACTGAGTGTCCCTGTTCATTCATAAACATGAGGACAGAGTATGTTTACTATATCCATAATCATGAATGAACAGAAGGTGATGTAGATCACTTCACATTCATTCATAATTGAGGATATAGTAACCATACTCTGTCCTCCAGTTATTTACAAACATTCAGCGATCACTGATCAATGAGTCTTTGCATTGGCTCTCCTTCCTGACACGCTGTCACAGGAGGCTGAGCGAGCGTAGCTCAGCCTGCTGTGACGGCGCTGGCTGTCTCTGCCCATACCGCTGATCTGTGACAGGAGACTGAGTGGTGTGGGAGGAGAGTCGCGGGCCGCTCACAGCGCTCGGCTGCCTGTGACAGTTTCTCTCCTCCCGCTGGGACACGGAGCAGCGCCCAGCGGGGAAGAGCGAGAGATCGGATGCACCGCTATTCGGCTTTATGCCAAAAGTGCCATTTTGGGCTGATATGTTTCGGCGGCCGATATATCGGTGCATCCCTAATAGAAACCCAAGCTTACCAGTTTTTACATGTAGTGGCTACATTATAGTAACAAGGATGCATAGGGGTTTAGATGATGCCGCGTCCTAATATCAATGCATAAGAAAAAACTAAAGAAAACTGACTTTTTAGGCAGTACTCTGAAAATATATTGTACACAATAAAATGTTTTTTTTATATATAAATTGAAGTGGTCATAGTAGTGCCTAAAGTCAGTTTTCTTTTGTTTTTTTCATATCCGTAGTGGCTACATTAGTTTTCTTTTGTAGGCCCTATTTCTGTTATTTTTTTACCTTGTGATCCAGTCAGTAAGTCTGTTATTTGTCAGCTTCCTTCAACCACTTCCAGAGCTTGGTGTTAAATCCCCTTCCCTGTCCAGGCCATTTTTCAGTATTCAGCGCTGGGGCACTTTGACATTTTATTCAATCATGCAACACTGTACTACAATTAATTTTATATCATTTGTTTTGGGTCAGATAGAACTTTCTTTTGGTGGTATTTAAAGGAGAATTATGGGGTGAGTGGAAACACTCATCCCCATAATTCAAGCCGACCTGTGATACTGAAGCTGTCTCAGGTCGGCTCTATTGATTGGGAAGTGAGCGAACAAATACCGCCGATCGCTGACTTCCCAATTCTCTCCCTGCAGAGAGCGGTGACTGCTAGTCACCGGTCCCTGCAGGGATTCCCCCTCTCCGATCCTCCAGCACTGATTTGAGGAACAAATGGGGGAGGGGGTGGGCTCAGCTTGCTCTGTGTCTCTTATCTAGAGAGGCAGAGTCAGCTGTCAATCAGCCAGTGAGGTGGATCTCACTGTGTCACAGCTCTGCGCTCTCAGCATATAGCAGGCAATAGCTATGTACTGAGTTGTGGGTCACCGGTGGACATTATATATGTCCTCCTGTGATCTTGAAGAGAACTATGGCCAAAAAGTTTAGGTCATAGTTCTCTTTTATTCACCACTGGGTTTTTTTATTTCTTACTAAATAAGGAAAAAGGTACGGGAAATTCTGAAAAAAAACCCCAAAACAAAGAAAACCCCAAAACAAAGAAAACCCCAAAACTATTTTCCCTACGTATGTTTTGAAACATTTCTACCCAGTTTTTTAGTAAAATATAAAAGACGGGATCACGTCAGGTAAATAGACACCAAACATGTCAAGCTTTAAAATTGCATGCACCTGCAAAAAAATTACCATTCTTGAAATTGGCCATAGGTGACACTTTAAAAGCTTTTACCGTTCATCGATTTAGTGTTAACAGTTATTGATGGCCCTAAAATTAGTGTTCTCACTGCGACGTGCGCTGTGTGTGGTCGTTTTTTGCATATGCGGGCACCCGACACATGTTTGTTTTCGGGGACCGGGGTACTTTGAAAAAATCATTTTTTTGTGTTTTTTGTTAATCCTTTTTTTAAATGCGGTTTTATTTTTTTTTAAACTTGCTTTTTTCCCCCTTTTTTTACGCTTCACTAAACAAGCCCCGCATGTAATTGCACATATACAGTGACAGGTGCTCTTTATCTAGACCCCTAATGTCACCTATGACCCCAAGTGAGTTGATGAAGCAGAGATCTGCTTTATCGGTTGCTTCTCCGGCTACATCAACCCAAGAAATGAGAGGCTGAAAGCAGAAGATTTCACTTTGGCTTTAAGACTTGTATTATTGTGTAGTGAGAACACATCACCACCTCTAAGCCTCACTAGCAGTGTTGTGCAGAGGAAGAAAGAGCCAAATTAGTATTATTAGACAGAGAAACCACCAAGTTTAATTGAGATGTGATGTTGACCTCTTTTTTTGCTACTTTCTTTAACAATGCGTGCTGTATCTGAGAACTATGATAGTCAAAGTGAGCAAAACCTATTACATTTGCTGCCTCTAGCTCCAAGGATTGTAGTTTTCTAGTATCGTATAGACTTATTATAGGGCTTGTGATGATAATAAATGCACCATAATGTATCTATTGATTGCCATCCCTGCAGTTCTCATTTCTTGAGCATTCGGCTTGTGAACTCCTTTTGAGCGCAATTAGATTTGCACACGAGTCATAGTTCTTCATTGCTCAAATTCTGTAGTCCCAAGTATTGAAGCACAGTGGGAAGGTTGACTGATGGATGTGAGTTTTGGGAGAAAGTATATCATAAGACCACATTGGAATGGAGAGCACTTTAGCACACTTACAGCTGTGAACAAGTGTCTAAGAGAGTTGTCTTTTCAGGAATGAAATATCACTATATATATTCCACATGTGCTCGGTCCCCTTTGCTCGCTGGTCCTTCCTTGGTGACAATTTACTGTTTTTCATTTTCTCTGTAGTATGGAACCACTCCGCTCATCTGGGCTGCGAGGAAGGGGCACTTGGAGAGTGTCAAGTCTCTGTTGCAGATGGGAGCCGATGTTGATCAGGAGGGGGCTGTAAGTATCTGAAATCTTAATTTTAGTTACTTAAAGCTCAAGAATAAAAAAAGAATAGAAACCTTTAAGCCCTTGACATACTGCATGCGAAGCCGTGCAGAACGAAGCAAAGATGTCAGGCATGGCGCTTCTCATGCAGTGTCTGAGCTGAGTGCAGTCAGATGAATAACTGCATCTGGGAATCCCGGTAAGGAGTGCGGTATGGTTCCTGTTTCTGATCGTTCACATCGTGACGCGCGGGTTTATACACGTGAGCCGATTGGCTGAAGATGACATCTTTCATCTCGGCACGCTCGGTTATGTGAGCTCTCGCAAGCTGACGTGGCGGAGAGACAATTACATGACACACTGCTTGCGAAGGCAGCGCGCCACTGCTTCCCTTCGCTCTGTGCTGCTTTGCGTGCAGTATGTCACAGCCTTGAGAATGTAAACTTTAATGCTGCCCATACACACGTTAGTTTTCAGACAGACTTCAGTTCTTTTTAAGCTGTAATCCTTTTGCTATGAAAAGAATGACCAAAGAAATAAAGGCAACCTACCACCAGCAGTTTCTATTGAAGCCCCGCAACAACTGAAAGAGTTTGGTGGTAGGTTGGCTTATTCAGTTTGGTGATTATTTTTGGATGGAATGCTTTAAAGTGGATAAAAATGCTCCCATATATTGTTAGTATAAGGCTACAGTGTGTGGTCCTAGATGACTTTTTTTCCTGTTTCTCTTTTGTTGTTCTCCATTTCTTGTTTTCCTGTATTAGTCGTATGTAGCTTCTGCGTTTGTGTGTATATGTATTGAAAGTTTTATTCATCATTACAGACCATTGTTGGGTACGTTTTTTCATTAAACCTGCGCTATTCAGTAAATGTGGCCATTTGTTTTTACTTTTCCATTTCAGAATTCAATGACTGCTCTGATTGTGGCTGTAAGAGGTGGCTACACTGACACAGTAAAGGAGATCTTAAAGAGGAATCCCAATGTGAATTTGACTGATAAAGATGGGAACACGGCTCTGGCCATTGCAGCCAAGGAGGGTCATACAGAGATTGTGCAGGATCTCCTTGATGCTGGAACCTATGTCAATATACCTGATCGGGTGAGCATTATTTTTTTCTTTTATAATTATTAGTTAGACACAAACTTTAGGTGTTTAGCGCTAAATATTAGGCTTTCGTTTCAGCAACTGAAAAATAGCAGTCACTGCTAGGGTACATAGAATATCATTATTTTCTATGTGTCCCGTTTACAGCCCAATGTGGGTGTGATGTGTGGTGCAAAAACATACAGACATGCTGCATTTGTTCTTTTTTTTTGCAGTGCACTGGAACTCATTGCTGTGCGGAGATCTAAAATGAAGTGTATACTTTTTTACGTTTCAAGTAAAGTAGTAGTACAGTGTGATATGATGAAACCGCGCATCACTCCCCCTCCCTTCGCCGTGACAGACCTTGCAGAGCGCGCTATCCTGCATGCTAAAACTGAGCACTTTAGCATGCAGGCTTCCTCCATGCTGTGCAAATGGTCCCATGAAGCCTCTGCTCTTTGCCGTTCCGGCTGGCAGTCATTTTGTACAAAGCAAGACTAGTAGTTCTGCATTCTAAACAAAAAGAGCGAGTACCTTTCAACAACCCGGAGTGTCAGAGAGAAGAGCCCACATTCATATTCTAAAGTTATTCACCTTAGAAAAGAGGCGATTAAGAGAGGACCTTATTGCAGTTTTAAAAATCATCAATGAGGACCCCAATATTAGGCACAAACTGTTCAATCCGAAAACTATTGAGAACCCAGGGACACAACAAGAGGTTAGAAGAGAGAGGGTTGAATCTTAGAAGTCATAGGAGTTATTTCACTGTGAGAATAGTGAAAAGTATGGAATTCCCCCCCCACAGGCGGTGGTATCTGCTGATAACATTGTATTGGATGAGTTTCTTCTTTCGCAGAATCTACAGGGATATTGGAAGTGTTAACACACACACACAACCCTGGTCTTTATTCAACCTTACATACTATGTTAAGAGGTGAGCACTGTAAGCTTGTTGTGGAAGGTTTTGGTTTCACAGCCTTGTTCTAAGGTGCTGAATAACAGCCCGATACATAGAATGGCCCATTTGTTTCATAGGATTAAACAAAGATTTAATGCACTCCCTTACAATCATTCTGTTAAATGCAGTGTTATACAGGTCATGGTGATTCTAGCACAGTACAGGTGCCTTTTGGAAAAGAAGCTGAAAGACAATGTATGCAGAATAGCTATTATTGAAAGTCTATATCTAATTTTTTTCCCCACAAACAGAATGGAGATACAGTACTGATTGGTGCGGTTCGAGGAGGCCATGTTGAAATTGTGCGGGCTCTACTGAATAAGTATGCCGATATCGACATCAGAGGACAGGTAAACGTCTTCATTTTCAAAGGTCCAGAGTGTGATGGTGGAGTGATTGAATTTAATCAGAGATATGTATGAGTTATTGAGGTTATGAGTCTGCAGTGAGATTTTTGGTAAGCTTGCGCTTCTTTATCAATTGTTTTTTCCTCTTTTAAAATTCCAATGTTTTCTCAATCAAAGCTATTTTTCTTTTTATTTCATAAATTTTTTTGCAATAAATGCTGAAGTTCAGATTTTATATTTTTTCTAGGATAATAAAACTGCCTTGTATTGGGCTGTTGAGAAAGGCAATGCCACCATGGTGCGGGATATTCTACAATGCAACCCTGACACTGAAATCTGCACAAAGGTAATATGTTTACATTGTTTCCTTTTGAGAGGTGAAGAGCCTTTTTTTCTATAAAGGACTTTTAGTGTCTGCTTTCCTGTAATTATGGCGCTTCTTTTGTTTTTAATTTTTTTAAAAAGTTTGAACTTGGTAAAGTCACATACTGTCATCTAAAGGGGCATTTGGCTTATGTTATTATAGATGATAAGCAATCCCTGTTGCTAGGTGTTGGAAAGGCGTATTTACCAGGTGCAACATAGGAAGGACAAGGTTAGGTTAGCCTTCAATATCGAGGCTTTTCTAGTAAACTTAAAGAATCATTTTAAAATGCATTGGCTGCAAGTTCTCTATTGATCTATACCAAGCAGCTTTGCTAATATAAGATGGAGATGAAAGCCAGTGCAGGGATTGACAGAGGGGGGATGCAGACACTGAGCGGTTGGTATGGTGGATGAGTCTAGCAGCAGCATTCATGATAGACTGAAGGGGGAGGAGCCTGTGTAGAGGTCGGCCAAGGAGGAGGGAGTTGCAATAGTCAAGACGAGAGATAACAAGTGAGTGGATGAGTAATTTTGCGGTGTCTTTGGTGAGGAAGGGGCGTATTTTGGAGATGTTACGAAGGTGAAGGCGGCAGGATCTGGATAGTGATTGGATGTGGGGAAGAAAGGTGAGGTTCGAGTCAAGGATGACACCCAGCACCTTGGCATGGGGGGAGGGTTGGATAGTTGTGTTAACAATCTCGAGGGAAAAGGTGGGGGGAAGGTGCACGGGCAGGAGGAAATATCATGAGCTCAGTTTTTGAAAGATTGCGTTTTAATAAGTGTTGCGACCCACCCAACTTTTAGTCTGAATGACACCTGACATCATCCACCCCCTTCCTGTGACCCCAGACTGTTGTAGAAAAAAACCCTGGCTAGCCTGGACTTGCCTTGTTCTGTCTCCATAGATCTGTGTTCACAGACTGAATGTTTGTGCTTGTTAATTAAGGTAAGTATAATAAAAGTTATTAAAAAAGGATAAGTATGTGAGCAGGGAGGTAAGGGGGCTTTGTAGGTTTTCTTTCTTTTCTTTTTTGCCTTAAGTGGAGCTTGTATGTAGTCGGATAACTATTTCCTGTTTTGTCCCTTATGTTATACAGGATGGAGAAACCCCACTGATTAAAGCCACAAAGATGAGAAACATTGAAGTCGTGGAGCTTTTACTGGATAAGGGAGCCAAGGTTTCTGCAATTGATAAGGTAAGAGAAACGCCAGTCCTGCCCACAGTTAGCTAAACATTTAGGTGTAGTATATACCATATATGTGCTTCAAACTGAAGACTCCTGTGACCATTTCTAAACCTCCTGAGCCCTGACTCCTAGAGCAAGAATGCTTCAGTAATCCAGTAAAGTATTAAATGCTGCCTGATGCTGCAGGTCTACCTTTAATAATAATTATTATTATACAGGATTTATATAGCGCCAACAGTTTGCACAGCGCTTTACAATATAAGGAAGACATTACAATCACAATGCAAGACAAGATGGTAAGGAGGGCCCTGCCCCTGAGGGCTTACAATGTAAAAGTGAGGGGCAATTAATTAAAGTGTATGTATAGGCAAAACTTAACCACTGTCCCTGATACGGAAAGTGATGGGAAATCTAAAATCTTACTGTCCGTCACCCAACCTGGTGGTGAGAGGTTATTTGGTTATTTTTCTCAATTATGTACCCCAGTTCTGGTGACAGTTGTATAAGAGGAGCGTTCCCCTCATCTTGTTAAGATTTCCCTTCTTATAGTTGTGTCTCCAGAACTGGAAGTGAGGTAGAATTGCCCTAACAGGAGACTGACTGCAAGAAATAACTTTATGGTTTTTAACACTTCCCTACTCTTATCTCAAACCAAAAAAAAGGTTTTGGCTATACATGCACCGTTACCATTTCCTCAAGGGTGTAGTGTATGTGCAAGTAACAAGGGACAGCCATCTTTGCTCATAGCTCTTCTGAGCTGATGCACCACAGCAGGAAGGTAGCAGTGTTTTAGAATAAAGCATGTTTTGGACCATGTACTACACATTAACTGCATACCTTCAATACATTGCCTTCGAATGGTCATTCCGCCTCCAATATTTTGGTTAGAAATGTGCCCTTAGCTGTAGTTACCCGAGTGTAACCTGTAACTTTTGTGCAGTGCACATAACTGGGTATTATCATTCTCTAGTGAAGTGTTGTAGGAAGTTCTTTAAAGCCCGAGTGCACTTTCCTCAGAAATTTGATAGTTCAACTCGGGGGCAAAAAATACTCACTGAGCCAATCTTTTTGTTCCTGCTGCTAAATAATCTGCATCAGTTGTTGTAAAGTCTGCGGCTGAGTAAAAGGCTGCAGAGGGGACCCTTGCTCTCCGTGTGAGGGCAGCGATACCTTGGTCATGGTCCAGCACGTCCCCTGGTTACTACAGCTAAAGCTAGGCAATTGGCAAAGCTCACCCTCCCTGCTGATTGTGAGTCACCAAGGGTATGTCCACAGAGGACAGATTGCTGCTTTCACACACAGACTTTTGTAACCGCCTGCTCCGCCACTGACTTTACAGCTACTGGGGAGCATTTAGCAGCCAAAACAAAAAGTAAGCTTTACTGGGTATGTTTTTTTCCCCCCCTCCAGCTCTCCTGAGTTGAACTGTTGGACTGCTGGTACAGTTGGGTTTCAGTGTACAACTGTTTTCAGAAACAAATGAGGGATACCATTACTGCCCCCTTGAAACAGTTTATTTGTTACAGGTATTTTTATAGTGACGTCAATTTGCTTTACATACTATATATTCACATCAGTCTCTGCCCTCAAGAAAGTTTACAATCTAAGGCCCCTACTTGGCATGCGCACACACATACAAGGGCCAATTTAGACAGAAGCCAATTAACATCCCAGCATGCCTTTGGGGTGTGGGAGGAAACCGTAGTACCCAGAGGAAACCCACACACGCACAGTGAGAACATACAAATGCCATACAGGTAGTGTCTTGGCTGGGATTTGAGCCCGAATGCCCCAGTGCTCTCTAGAGATGAGCCTGGGCTTGGTGCAAACCTAGCCACCCAAGCTCACTGCTTCCCCAACCCACAGCCCCCACTCCCAATCAATGGCGGCAGTTGCAACGGGGGCATTTCCCGCCCATTTGTGATGTGTAGCTGCACGGCAGAGAATGCACCTCCTATGGAATTGATTGAACAGGGAGGAGGGATGGCAGTCAAAGTTTTGAGTGGGCTTGAATGAACTCTGATGAAATGGGTTCACACCAAGCCCAGGATCATCTCTACTGCACCTATCTTAAGTGTACCTACAGGTTGCCTTTAATTGCCAGGTAAGTGTTCAAGTGGAAGACTGCATGTTATACACTGACGAAACCTCTTTTATTAAGATTTCGTTTTTCGGCAGTGTATTGGTTCAGGTTATTGAGCCGTAGATGTGTTAATGTGCAAAGATAACATGCCATTTATTTATAGAATAATGCTTTATTGAGGAGTTGGAATAATAAAGATAAAGAGAAATTTGCATCAGGATCAGAACACATATAGAAATACATAACAATATGATATCAATAAACATTAGTCTCTAGTGTTGCATCCTATATAAAAGGCTGAGGACCCATGTGTTGTTGGTGCTATTTTTAGAGTCCTGTTAGAGATTACTGGGGCTTTTTTTTAACAAACAAGTTTTTGTTTTTTTTTTCCTTCAGAAAGGGGACACTCCTCTGCATATCGCTATCAGAGGCAGAAGCCGGAAACTTGCAGAATTGCTGCTGAGGAACCCAAAAGATGGCAGATTACTGTACAGGCCAAATAAAGCCGGAGAGACGCCATATAACATAGACTGCACCCACCAGAAGAGCATTCTCACTCAGATATTCGGAGCCAGTACGTATGCTTGTTTTCATTCATTTTATTAATGTTGTAGTATACAATACCTCTGTATACTTGAGACTGGCCTGACACCTCCATGCTACATGCAATCCTTTTAAAAGCAAAATCCTATTAGTGCTGCAGTTGTGTGATACCGAGGCTACATTGTGTTAATACTAATGAGTCTTTTAATGGCTGTTTAAACTGTATACAGTCACTTGGAGTGTTCAGTAAACACTTAACTTTTTTACAATGCTTAAATGAGAAGTGTTAAGTGGCAAAGGAATGATACAGAAGGTTTAGTTGAGTTCCATTGAATATTTAGATATGATCCGTATCTGAAGCAGTTGCTCATAGCAACAAATCTGCTTCTCTTAAGTTTGTTCAGTTAAGCTTTGAAAATGAAACATAGAAGCTGATTGGTTGCCATTGGCAACTGCTCCAAATTCTGTCTGCTGCAATTTTTGTGCATTCCCCCATTGTGTTCAATTGCTGGCATGACCTGCGGCTGCTGAATACCCGAACAGTGACCTGTATCTGATTCTTTGGCCAACAAATCTCGGCCTGTCTACTTCTATTTCGTTGTTTGAAGAATCAACTTCTGCCGAGCTGTGTGGTGCAGACAGGGCCTCCCACAGCTCAAATGTTGGCAAATTTAACATAAATTGGCTGAAATTTAAGCAGTGTATGGCCAGCTTAATGGTTTAAAAGGAATTTATAGTATTACTTTACCTCCATGAGTGAAATGTGTGCTTTATTTTAGGCTGTTTGTTGCATCCATCCATGTTTATTTTGTCTTTTGTTTGATACAGGGCACCTTTCTCCTACTGAGACTGATGGTGATATGCTGGGGTATGATCTCTACAGCAGTGCCCTGGCTGACATCCTCAGTGAGCCCACCATGCAGCCTCCCATCTGTGTTGGACTGTACGCTCAATGGGGAAGTGGAAAGTCATTTTTGCTTAAAAAGCTTGAAGGTAATGTACCTGCTAGGAGATGTGGGTTCAGCTCTACTGCAGCTTCGGCTTAACAACTAGGGGAGCATGTTATGTTGATCAAGAAAATTACTGATTCTTTTTGTTAGCAATACTGAGTTGTGGACCTCTGTGGACCCTTATTTTTAAAATTACCACAAAGGCACCTTTAGATTTGTTTAGTGATTGCAATCCGCAAATAATTGCAGGCTTTTTTTTTCTTTGTATACTTCAATTTTCTTCTTCCTATTCTTCTCATGGTGTCCATTTTCACTAAGGGCAGATGAATCCATCTCCCTTTACTTCTAGGAACTCTGGGTCTGTCCCCTGGAACATGTGACGGTGCACATCATCCAAGGGGGGAAAAATGCCCCCCCCCCCCCCTGAGATCTAATGAGATTTTGCAGTTTATGGATGAGATTTCCCAGGAAGGCACTGGTGATGTAGCCTTCATAGGATATATCTTGAGGCCCGGGCTACATCACCTGTGCCAGTAAATGTAAGATGATTTCATAGCTGCATGCTGATGTACAGAGCTTAAAATTATTTAGGGTGTCTCACCAGTCAGTCAAAAATGTCCCCAGTCAGCATGACTGGACTATAGCCCTGCAATTAATGTTAAAATTTTTTAGGGATACATACAGCTTTCTTTCGGAGGTACATAATCACCACTGGGGGGGTTTATTTTTTACTCTATATGGAAAAAAGTACTGTAAATTTTGAAAAAAAATAATGTTTTCCCTAAGTTATGTTATAAAACATTTATTCTTACCCATATTTTTGGTAAAATATAAAAGATGGGGTCTTGCAGGTAAATAGACACCAAACATGTCAAGCCTTAAATTTGCATGCACCTGCCAAAAATTACCATTCCCGAAATTGGCCATAGGCAATGCTTTAAAAGCTTTTACCGCTCATCGATTTAGTGTTAACAGTGATTAATGGCCCTAAAATTATTGCTCTCACTGCGACGTTCGCGGTGATATGTAACATGTGCGGCGCAATAGGCGCAATCGTCTTCGCATGTTTGCGCCCACCAATATGTGGTGGGCGGAAGACTTTAAAAAAAAATATTGTGTTTTTAAACATTTTTTTTTTAATTGTTTTTTAACTTCGTTAATTTTCTCATTTCTCCTTTTTTTTTTTTTTTACACTTAACTTTATTGCTATCACATGTGGGGCTAAGAAGCTCCCTATATGATAGCCAGTTTACATGACAGGTCCTCTTTATGGAGACATCAGGGGTCTCCAAGACCCCTAATGTCACCTAGGCACCCCAGAGAAGCAGGTGAAGCAGAGATCTGCTTCACCAGCTTCTCCCCAACTTCAGAAGCTGGAGAGCGATAGCAGAATGCGGAAGTGATGTAATATACATCACTTCCTGCATTCGGGGACTGGAGAGGAGATCAGAGGGCGATCGTGGACCGATCTCCCTTTGATCACCTGTCACAGAGCAGCCGTGCTGGTCCCGGGCACAGCGGATCTCGGGACCGGCAACGGCAGTGACAGGTGCTGCTGATACAAGCGATCGAGCGTCTCTAGAGACGCCCGATTTGCTTGAATGTTAAGCTCCCGGCCGGCCGTTTAATTACAACGGCCGGACGGGAAGCTACTTGTCAGGCTCCGCCGTCCTCTCGTCACATACGAGAGGACAAGCGGATTTTTCAAGCCCTGCTGATGTACTTATTTTGAAGGGAGTTAAGAACTTAAGGCAATCCTTGCACCCCTGGTAGCCCCTGTGACAACACAGGCAGGTCCTTGACCCCTTAGCAGATTGCACTGTCCTGTCATCCCTGTGCATTGCCTTCCTGTAAGCATGTTCACATTTTTTACCTAAAAGCATTACATAAACGTAAGAGTGCTAATGAAGTGAACACTAATACAGGTTTAGGAACTTATATTAGTCCTTTTGTTAGAAATGAATGGAATTTATTTGAATAAGTACATGGCTGTATTAGGTTTTGCTTCATTCATAGCAGTTTGGAATTTCTTTACATTGTGTGTCATGCAATTGTGTAAGTAAGGAGTTACGATATGTTTTTTTAATGGATGATAGTCCTATATATTTTTGCTTCTTGTCTTAGATGAAATGAAGACATTTGCCGGGCAGCAGATTGAGCCCCTCTTCCAGTTCTCTTGGCTCATCGTCTTCCTCATTTTGATGCTGTGCAGCACTGTTGGATTGCTCCTGTCGTTCAGTGTGGATGCCAAGCTGGGGATATCCGTGTCACTCAGCCTGCTGGCTGTCCTCTATATATTCTTCAGTAAGTTTCTAAACTGCTTCTTGTTACTCATTTACTGTTTCTGTCGTCCTTGTGTCCCTGACTGCCCCTCACACATGCCGATGATTAAATTGTAACTTCGGTGAATTGCCACGTTTTCAGTGTGTCATAGTTAAGCAAATCTTTATCAGGATTAGAACTCTGCTCCCATGATGTAGTAGGTGTCACTACTTCTTGGTGATCTGTCCATTGTGCAATCGGCCTGACCTAGTAGAGGTGTTAGGATAGATTTCTTAAGAGTTTCAATTACTGCTCTGCATATTGGCTGTTGCATGGAAAGTAGAGAAAGTGTTACGTTTTATTTAGTGATTTCAGCAATATTAGGCCCATAATGGCACAGTTATGTTTTACCTGCTCGGTTCCTTGTAGTGCATTGAGAACCCTTATGTGCCTTCCATATTTGCTCACATACTTCCTTCAAAGCAGCTGACTCGATAGGACTGCTGACCTGCGACCGTATATATGGTTTCCGGACATTTTCCCAGGCATCCCTCTTATGTTCATCTCCTATGGTCCAGTTCCATACTAATCTGAATTTGTTTTCTGTGTTGATGAGGAGTCAGATATCCGACTTATGGAGTCTTTTTACATATGATTAGGGGCAGTGTATAAAACCAAAAAAACAAGTCCATGTTGCTTTGTCGGCCTAGCCATTCTGCCCTCCCTCTCTTGCGATCCTGTCTTTGACATGCTTTGTTCTCAGTGCAAAGAGAAAGTATAACCATTAAGGTTATTGTAAGAAGTAGGGATGCACCGATACCGATACTAGTACTCGTACTCGCCCAAATGCTCCAATGCCTGGCCCGAAACTTCCTGTATCAGGAAGCCGGGCAGCGTATAATGACGCGCTGCCCAGCTTCCTGATTGGTTGGGAAGCTGGCCAATCGGGGTGCCGTGTAATGACGAAGCGCCCGGCATTCTGATTGGCCAGGAAGCTGGCTTCATGCTCCCTCGTCATCTCATGACGAGGGAGCATGGAGCCGGCCTCCTGGCCAATCAGAAAGCAGGGCGTCGCGTCATTACATGGCACACGGCTTCCTGATTGGCCGGCCAGATGGCTCCGGCTGGGTACCAGAGGAAGGCCGCGTTCTGGCTGGAGAGGGTGGCAGGCTGGACATACCAAGGTAAGAGGGGACAGACTTTCTTGTTAAACGGGAAGCCGGGTGGTGAGTCTTTACACGCTGCCCGGCTAATCAGGATGCCAGGTGGCGAGTCATTACATGCCACCTGGCTTCCTAAATGGGACTTCTGTTACTCGGTAATTGGTATCGGCGAGTACTGAAAAAAAATTATCGATACTCTGTACCTAAATACCGGTATCGGTGCATCCCTAATAAGAAGGGACTGAAGAAATTGAAAAACTGATTGTTTGAACAGATTGCTTAGAACAGAAGGTAACAGGTTTCATTCCATGACATAGCCTAACATTAAGAGGATTATTCCTAATTTTAAGACAGTGGGCGAAGCCATGCATATCATTTATTTGCATCCCATTGGCCAAATGCACACCCAGAATTGCTGGTGTATAGTGCAAATATTACCTAGTATTATAGAGCCATTTATTCCAAACTGCATACACAGCACTGACATTAATTTGTATGTAGTCCTTTTCCTAATAAGTCCTGATTTTCTGTTAATTAGGAGTTTATCTTTAATAGAATGTGTAGCACTCTAAGAAATGTACGTATCTAACTATATCTTGTATCTCTTTCCAGCTGCGGTGTATTTTGGCGGGCGACGGGAAGGAGAGAATTGGACCTGGGCCTGGGTGTTAAGTACCAGACTTGCACGACATATTGGTTATCTGGAACTACTGCTGAAACTGATGTTTGTGAATCCTCCAGAGCTCCCAGAGCAGACCACCAAGGCTTTACCTGTTAGGTGAGTTGATGTTCTTATAGGAGCCATCAAACATCCACTTTATTCTAACTAAAGCTAAATGCTTGCATTGAAAATGACAAATATTTACCTTGATTTTAACATGTATCTCTGCACCACGTATGCACGCATTAAAACGCACCGATGAAATGCATATATGGCAGCTGTATACCTGCCAAAGGATTAAAGTGACACTAAACTCAGGCGTTAAATTTTTCCCCATGGTCCCTGTGTGTGTTGAAAAGCAGCCACCACTCCAAGCTCATTCCTGTGATGGGCTGAAATCTTACATTTTAATTTACTAAATTGTATTGAGCTTGAAGCGGTGACTACTTTACACCACACACAGGGACCATGGGGAACAAAAGTAGTCAACCTCCAGAAGGAAGGACAGTGTCAGCACCAATTCAGAGATGATTTGAGGATCTACAGCCGAGTGATACACAAATAAGATACATTTCTGTTAATAGTTGGGGGACTTGAATGCATTTTTAAAATACAACTCCTGAGTTTAGTGTCACTTTAACATTTTTCTCCCATGCAATGATTACACATTAAAGGGTCTTTTCACACCAGCAAGCCTCGCTGAATGCATGGCTGCTGGTGTGCGTTGAGAGGTACTGTGCTGATGAGCCAATGCTGGTGCATTACACTGCTTATCCTCCTTTTTTTCTTTTCTTTTCTTCTTGTGAGTGATATTTCATGAAGTTCTATCGGGCACAGCACGGTGTGCTGTGTTTGTATCGTGTTGCACCATGCCGTTTTGAAAAACAGGGCTGCCACGCGTTGGTGTGAACTGAGCCTATTCAAAGGAAGGCAGTTTGGCTTGTCTGTGCTGGAAAAAGCAGCTTCTGCAGCCCCAGCACATCTGGAGTAAACTGGCCTTTTTACAGGACTATATCATGTCCTGTTGCTTTGAACAACGTTGTTACAACTTGAGCATCTGTTAGTCTAAAACCAAAAACGTGCCCTGGTTGCATCTTTTGTGCCATCATCTTTTATGAATACGTAGTCGCTGTTTCCCTGATTTAGGATAGATATAAGTTGCCACGTGGGCAGACAAGTCAGTGTTGCTGCACACAGCAGTACAAATCTAGTGTTCACTGAAACCTAATGCACATTTCTTACCAACCTCTAAAGCTGGCCATACACCTAGAGATTATCTGCAGATTTTCTGTGGTCAGATGGAAAAAGTGCAACAGATTCCTCCATCTACGCTACACTGCATGGATGGAGGAATCTCCCGCTGGGCCAAGCTTCAGTATCTTGCTGGCTCTAAAAATACCTGAACAATCTGATATGATGCAGGCATTGTTCAGGTATTTTGAGAGCCAGCGGGGCCAACTAGAAAGATACTGATACTGAAGCTTGGCCCAGCGGGAGATTCCTCCATCCATGCAGTGTAGCGTAGATGGAGGAATCTGTTGCACTTTTTCCATCTCACTATAGAAAATCTGCAGATAATCTCTAGGTGTATAGCCAGCTTTAGTCTCCTGGGTGGTGCTCCCAAATTCTCACCAGTATTCTGCTATGGTGTTGGGGTGTTTAATTTTTTTTTAAGTAACAATTTCATATAGAAGTATTAAGTACAGTTCACATGAAGAGTCATTTTTGCATTTCAGCTATGGGCCTATCTATTCAGTGGTAATTATTTGACTTCTGATACAGAAGTGAGACATACCTGCAGCATTTTTGTGCCCGATGGATTGAGCTGTAGACTGTGTGTAATCTCCATTACGGTAGAGAATAGAGAGTACCTCTGCACTCCTTACAGCGTTCCCGGCCCAAATGGTAGTATTGGTGCTTGCAGTGACGATCACGGATGGCACCGTGCACATCAACAGTAGAGAACAGGAATCACCAGCACTCAATAAGTATTTTTCCCGAAAACGACTTATTGAGTGCTGGTGATTCCTGTTCTCTACTGGTAATCTCCATTACAGTTTTCATACCAGTGTGTATTTTCATCTGTTTCTTCAGGTTCCTTTTTACGGATTATAATAGGCTCTCTAGTGTTGGTGGCGAGACCTCCATGGCAGAAATGATCGCCACTCTCTCCGATGCATGTGAGAGAGAGTTTGGTTTTCTAGCAACTCGACTTTTTAGGGTCTTCAAGACCGAAGAAACCCAAGGTAATTATTCTATTATGACACATTTACTGGCAATAAGGATTGTTTGTGTGAAAAAGCTCATCCTGATGTCACAAAAATACATGTGTTTTAAAAACTATGTGGTTAAAGTGGACCTGTTAGTTACTTTACATGTCTGTGTGAACACATTCCTGCTAGGTCACACTATACACCATACATTTTAGTATCAAATTAGAACGTTTTTGAAAAATTATAAGTTTCATTCAAGTGACTTTCCTAGGGTGCAATGATGCCATCAGTCTGCTGCGGGCAGGAGGAAGCATTCTTTCACTCTCCATTCGCAGTAACTTTGTAACGAGTCACATATTTTAAAACGGGCAATTGTAGTGAAGCTACTGAACAACGTTCTGTTCTGCAGCACTTTTGGCCACCAATAGTGAAGACCATGGTATTTGTTATAGCATTCACATGCAATAGCATTCATGGGAAAATTGGAGGGATAATAGGAGGGCATAATACATACTTCACGCTTATATGTTCTATAATTTGCTCCCGATTCTTTTCCAGTGACATCACACCCCCAGCACACAAACTTGTCTTTCTCCAGTGATGTCCTACCTCCAGCACACACACTGCTCTTTCCCCTATATCCCTCCTGCAGCACACACATGGTGCTTTCCCCATGTATATAGGTTAAAGTGACACTAACCTCAGGAGTTAAATCTTAAAAATGCATTCAGTTACCATAACTATTTACAAAAATGTATCTTATTTGTGCATCATTCCGCTGTAGATCATCAAATCCTCACTGAATTGGTGCTGACTCTGTCCTTCCTTCTGGAGTGTGCCTTCTTTTGTTCCCCATGGTCCCTGTGTGTGTTGTAAAGTAGTCATCGCTCCAAGCTCGCTGCCGTGATGGACTACAATCTCATGTTTAGTTTACTAATTTGTTTTGAGATTGTAGTCCATCACAGGAGTGAGGATGGGGCGTTGGCTACTTTACAACACACACAGGGACCATGGGGAGCAAAAGTCGCCCCCCTCCAGAAGGAAGGACAGTGTCAGAACCAATTCAGAGATGATTTGAGGGTCTACAGCCGAGTGATACGCAAATACGTTTTTTGTGAATAGTTAAGGGACTTGAATGTATTTTTAAGATTTATCTCCTACGTTTAGTGTAATTTTAACCCCTCAGCACCCAGTACCTGCCTCATTTAGGGTATCGCCACTCATCCAATATATGTGCTGCACCTATTCTTGTGTCTGTGTGCATTAATCTCCCGCATGCAAGTACCCAATGCATGTATATTTACCACACAACAGCCATTCTCCAGCACATGTGTAAGAACTCCTCCATGCCCAGACATAATGTTCAGTGTGATAATCCCTCACATTTATTCAGTGTGCTACACCAAATATCAGTCCTTATCTCCACTGACTAGTCTATTTGGAAGCTCGGCTCCACTATGCCTTTTCCTTGTTCAAACAGTCCCTGGCAACAAAGCCTTACCCCATCGCCTACATCCCCAGCACTACCTCTGTTGTTCCTGGACTCCATGACAACAGTTTGCGAAATCAGGGCTGGTGCACACCTGGGCGATCTGTGATCACGCGACAATCGTGCACCATGACGCGCGGTCACGAAGTAGCCCACCACAGACAATCGTGCTGTGGGTGCTATTATTTACTAATGGCACCCCAGTTGTTTCCCACCACGATTCCGCCCCGTGCATCGGAACACAATCGCAGCTAAAACAGCCACGTGTCGTGTATTGCAAAAAAAAGGTACACGCACCTTTTTTTCTGCATTTGGCGTGCGGATGTACCCCATTGAAATCAATGGGGCTGCGTTGTAATCGCTGTCTGCAATTGTGCATGCCTGCGCGATCCCGGGGCGCCTGTCCCGGATGGCTCAGGTCTGCACAGGGCCTAAATGGAAACCGTACAGTTACAATACAATAAGACGAGAGCTTTGAGCCCCTGCTCGTGAGAGCTTACAATCTAAAAGTATTATATTCCCAACCGTTTGCTAGTATATTATAATAGCATATTCCCTGTATGCTTGTATATCTGTTGGATTTATAACTTTCATACATCGTCCAGTTGTTAAAAGACAAGACCACTTTCTCTACTAACAATTATCCAGTCTATGGGCACCTTAACAAGCAAATGCCATCACTAGCCTGCACCTGCAATAAAATAACGTTTGAATGAGGTTCTCTGAATGGTACTTGTTCATCTCGGTTGCTGTTGTGTTGATCTTGTTGATGGGTGTTGGTTGCCAGCTATGTTGTGTCCATATATACACCTCCTGTGCCCCTTCTCCCAGTTTGGAAGTAGAATGTATAGAGTGAATTCTTGCACTTGTCTGATCTCTAAATGCCAGGCCCCTGGGTATTGTATAGAATGTCTGTGAGTTTCTTTGCCTTTCAAAACACAGTTTGTTAATGACCCTTCCTATGTTTCAGGGAAGAAGAAATGGAAGAAGACCTGTTGCCTTCCATCCTTTGTCATTTTCATCTTCATCATGACTTGCATCTTCACTGGAGTTATTTTATTGGCAATCTTCAAAGTGGATGCCAAAAACATGACGGTGAATGCTATTTTGATAGCCGTGGCTTGTGTTGTTGGCCTGGTGCTGGTTCTGAATTGTCTCACATGGTGGCAAGTGATGGACTCCATATTGAACTCACAGAGAAAACGCCTTCATAGTGCGGCCTCCAGACTACACAGGCTGAAGAGTGAGGGCTTCATGAAGGTACTGCCATTACCAATCTTTAGTATACCATTTGTTTTGCTATTTAGGTCACATGGTCTATAGCACCATTACATAAAACTGAACTTGGTGGCTGAGGGTCAGAAACATGTGGTTCTGCGATGTCCAATTTCAATTGTGTAGTTGGCTTCTGGTGTTAATGTAATCATTTTATAATGAATTCAGCTGAGAATCTTCAATGTTTCTGTTAATAATGTCCTGGAACACTCACTTTTACTTGCATAGCAGCGACCTCAGGTCCCCGTGCAGAGTTTGTATGAACTTCCGGTCAGGTGGTGGGGGTGTGTGCACTTTTATTACTTTCTTCACCCTCTGATCCCCTTCTTCGGGATTATATGTCCCATGATTCATAGCCCATCACTCATGCGTGTTGCACATAAGCCACTGTACACAATGCTCCCATGCTGCCTATGCCTGGCGGCGCAGGGAGCGTCAATACAGCACCAACAGGTGGCTCCATTGGACCCCTTATGCGAGGGAGCCAACCTTACACAGGAAAGCGAGGCCAGCGCTGTGCTACCTCATTATTTAAGAGGAAAGAAGAATTTGTGCACATTGAGAAGCATCACAGAAGGTATTCACATCCCCCGTAGAAATAGTAAAAAATAATGTAAGCTTTAATTATTAATATGTTTACCCTTGTGTGATATGGGCATATTCTGGGCAGGGTCTTGGGTTCTTCAAGGTTTGTAACTAGTGTATGGATGAGGAAAAAGAGCAGGAAAGCAGCTGGTTGAGAGTCTACACTACTCCAGATATTGCTCTTGAGTGACTGTTGTAATGATATCATACCCTGTTGACAATGCCGACTGATTACAGCTGCAAGAATTATGCTGAACTATACTTTAGAACAAAGGGTAGGCAATCTCAGCACAGCAGATGTGGTGAAACTACAAATTCCATCCTACATCTGCCTCTGGAAGTCATGCTTGTGGCTGTCATTCATGCCATTCACATGGTTTACAGGGAAAAAAAACTTTGAAAGAAACTGTCTACAGTCTATTGGAAAACCTGAAACTGACTCCCACGGGAAATTTAGGGGTTTTTTTTTTTTTTTCCTTTTTTAGGTGCATGGGTGCAAATAAGGTGATGTAGCATAGATAGCAGAAATGGTAGAAAAAAGAAAACCATTATAGTGGAGAAAATATTACTTAAACCTTAAAGTGCCACTAAACTCAGGAATTAAATCTAAGAAATATATTGAAGTACCTTAACCATTAACAAAACTGTATCTTATTTGTGTATCACTCGGCTATAGATCCTCACATCATCTCTGAATTCATGCCGACACTGAAAGGTGCACACGCGCTGGAAGCTCGCTCCTGTGATGGTCTAAGATAGTCTATAACTTCAATAAAAATTAGTAAACTAAACATGAGATTGTAGTCCATCACAGGATCAAGCTTGGAGTGGTGGCTACTTTACAACACACACACGGACCATGGGGAACAAAAGTAGCCACCCTCCAGAAGGAAGGACAGTGTCCGCACCAATTCAGAGATGATTTCACGATCTATAGCCGAGTGATACACAAATAAGACACATTTTTGTTATGAGTTGGGGTACTTGAATGATTTATTTTTTTGTTCCTGATTTTAGCTTCACTGTAACTTGTTCTGTGGTGCTCTAGCTATTGTAGGTGTAAAAGGTCCCATTCTGCCTTGCCTTCTTATCGATCAAGTGTCAAGATTATCTATAAACCACAGGTGGTTTCTGTTTTGCCATCTTAATGTCCGTGTAAATGTTCGGTTCCAGGTTCTGAAATGCGAAGTAGAACTGATGGCTAAAATGACAAAGACAATCGACAGTTTCACACAGAACCAGACAAGACTCGTTGTGATCATCGATGGGCTGGATGCCTGTGAGCAAGACAAGGTCCTTCAAATGCTGGATACGGTATGTGCCCTAATTTTCTGTCTGCCTTTAATACATTTTATGGCGAATCCACTCTACTGCATGTTGCTGACATATCGGGTAAGTTTGGTCACAATTATCAGCAAGAGGCTTCTGTCAGCAAAAAAAAAAGGGTTGTAGGTTATTGGCTATTTGTAGGCATACTTGACCAATATGTAGGGTATCTATCAAAACTGGAGCAGACAAAATATGGAGCTTCTCAAACCTTTAAAGTGATATTAAAGCCTCCTTAAAAAAATATATATATTTCCAACAAGGAGACCCACCTTTGCTGGAGGCTGTTGCCGTCTTTCTTTCAAAGTTTTTAATTCCTCGTTTTCTAGTGGGTCCCCGCAGCAGTCTTCCCCCCGCCCCCAGTACGGGTGCCACCATAGTTCTAATGGAGGCATCCATGCGTGCTCGTGCCCCCAGTGGCTGTGTGCGTCCATAGACACAGACCTGTGGCAGTCCATGCCCCGTCTCTCTTTGATGGCAGAAGGTGCCTATGGCTCCTCTGCCATGAGTATCCTCCCTGTGCTGGGGGGGGCTGCGGGAGAAAAAGGGTGCTGGGCTATTTTTATCCTAATGCAGAGAATGCATTAAGGTAAAAAAGGTAAAAACGTCCAGACCTTAATACTACTTTAACTGAACAAACTGAAGAGAGAAGCTGATTGGTTACAATGGGCAACTGCTCCAGATTTTGTCTGCTCCAGTTTTGATAAATTCCCTTCTCTGTGTTAAATTTGAGCTCTCAAATTTCCAAATAAAAAATTGAGAGGGGGTAATTGTTGGCATACATGGCAGCCATGTGTCTTGATTTTGAATGGTCTGAGTTTGTATTTCTATGCTGGAACATAATGTGAAAATGCAAAGAGCCAAGTCATAAATGTTAGTAATCCTTGGGCTATTGGCTTTTTAGTATTTTTGCCGGAGTTCTCCTTTTAGGTGAAGAATAAATATGCTCCACATTGAATTGCGAATAAATGGCATGGAATGATGCTAGATAACAAACGATGGCACTGAACACTTAGTGGAAACATTGCCTTTTAATTACAGGCTCTGAAAGCCCGTTCATTCGCGGTGCTGTGAATGCTGTCTCACCGCTGTTTTGTAGCACTTTTACAGCCATAATTAACTGCATTGGAAGTTCCACAAATGATCTACATGACTATTATTTCTATAATGATTGCCGTTTGCAGGAGGTTTTACAAGCAGCTTGTGAATTTGCCCCGGAGGGCTGCCATAGCCAGAGACGAGAGCGCTCCATGAACGAAGCAGAAATAAATGATGGCAATACATCCTGCTAGTCTGTGTCTGTTTTATGGGAGCAGGTTGTTTATTGAGCTGTATATCTCCTGCGTAATGGACTGTTTGATTACACAGAGGACCAGTAAGCACCGGCTGTCACCTAGGCACTGACCTTCCTGCAGGAGGACAGCACAGTACTAGCACTTATTTTCCTCAGTGCCACCTGCTGGGGGATTATACACTAAATAACCAATTTATTGATGAAGATACTTGCATTTTATTCACTTTATGCAGATTGCCTCCACTACGATAGTGGCTTAGGATTGGTGAATACATTAAAAGGGGTTGTCATTTATCTTTGTGACAGAGCTAACAAAGTGATGACGTTTCATTTTTTTTCCATCACAGTTGCCAACCTATAAACATGTACTTGGAGGAAAAAAACAAACTCATTTATGTGATCTTGAAAAACAAACCAAGAAAAAGCTTACATATACACACAAACGGGTGTTGGGTGCGCCTACATGCGAAAATGACATTTGCACCGTATGTGTTGCATATCACTGCGAATGTCGGATCATGAGCAATAGTTTTAGGGCCATCAATCAACCGCAGTGGTGATTAAATACCACCAAAAGAAAGCTCTATGTGTCCCCAAAAAATGGTATAAAATTGATTTCAGTACAGCGTTGCATGACAGAATAAACGTCAGTCAAAGTACCGCAGCACTGAATACTGAAACATGGCCTGGTCAGGAAGGGGGTGTAACACCACGCTCTTCAAGTGGTTAATTGTTTTTTTTAATTTTTGTACTAATTTTTTTATTATTAATTTGCTATCAACATTCTCCGGTCTGCTCCCCACTCTCCATCCTGAAATCACTGCCATCAGCGCTGCGGCGGGTGTCCAATCCAGCGCTGACTCCTCTGGGCTTGCTGGCACTTTCTGTCCCACGGGTTCTGCATGCGTGTGCATGCGCCCGTTGACTTACCTTGTGTGCCTCCTCGCGGCCCGGCCGAAAATGTGAACTGCGCATGCGCGGGCCCCAAAATCCTTTGCGGCCACCCGAGAATTTTCACATTTTTGGACAGGAACGTACGTGGGAAGACACAGGTAAGTTTAAACCGCTGTTAAACTTTTTTTTTTTTCAACTTTTTGCATATATCTGCTGCTTCCTAGCAGTAGATATATGCAAAAAAAGTCCCCCCTATTTAACCTTTTTATGTAGCCGCCGAGGGGCGAAGCAAAGGGCAATACTATAGAGCAGGGGTGTCAAAGGCCGCATCAACATTATGGTTGCTCTCGAAAGCTATCTGTAAGAGTATATAAATGTATCTAATCTTTATCATAAGTGCCTCTGCATTCGATTATCACTGGTTTTAGTAATAACTTAATACCTAGATCTGAAAGTAGAAGTCTAGGAAATGGCCTGGTGGGCCGGATTCGACTCCTGGGCCTTGAGTTTGACACGTGCTATGGAGTGTCACTTGAGGCTGCTGACATTAAGTGACATTAAAGGCAACTTTTTTTTTCACCTCACCCCAACATTAATTAAAGCTCTGCCTTAAATGATGTCTCTTAATCCGATCTTCTTTCCTGATGTTTTCAGCCTTCTCTTCAGCGCTGCGGCGGGTGTCCAATCCAGCGCTGACTCCTCTTTTTTTTTTCCAACTTTTTGCATATATCTGCTGCTTCCTAGCAGTAGATATATGCAAAAAAAGCTGAGTGTTTAAAACTCTTAAGTCCTATAGACTTCTGGTGGGAATGAAATCAAAGCACTGCAAGGCAACAGGACTAACTTCTGTTCCGCAGTGCTGTGCCTAGTGTTTCATTGAGACACTCACTGGCCACTTTATTAGGTACACCTTGCTAGTACTGGACCCCTTTTGTCTTCAGAACTGCTTTAATTCTTCGTGGCATTGATTCAACAAGGTGATGCAAACATTACTTAGAGAGTTTGGTCCATACTGATGATAGCATCACGCATTTGCTGCAGATTTGTCGGCTGCACATCCATGATGTGAAGCTCCACAAGCCTGAACCGATACAGATACAAGGCAGGATGGATCCATGCTTTCATGTTGTTTACATAAAATTGTGACCCGACCATCCGAATGTCGCAACAGAAATCGAGACGCGTCAGACCAGGCAACGTTTTTCCAATCTTCTATTTTACAATGTTGGTGAGCCTGTGCTAATTGTAGCCTCCGTTTCCTGTGCTTAGTTGACTGAAGTGGCACTCAGTGTGATCTGCTGCTGCTGTAGCCCATCTGCATCAAGGTTCAATGTGTTGTGTGTTCAGAGATGTCCTTCTGCAGACCTCGGATGTTATTTGAGTTACTGTTTTCTATCCGCTTGAACCAGTCTGGCCATTCTCCTCTGACATAAACAAGGTATTCTTGCCTAGAGAGCTGACACTCACTGGGTATTTTCTCTTTTTCGGACCATTCTTGGTAAATCTGAGAGATGGGTTGTGTATGAAAATCCCAGTAGATCAGCAGTTGCTGAAATACTCAGATCAGCCCGTCTGGCACCAACAACCATGCCATGTTCAAAGTCACTTAAATCTCCTTTCTTCCCCATTCTGATGCTCGGTTTGAACTTCAGAAGACCATCTTGTCTACATGCCTCAATGTATTGTTACTGCCATGTGGTTGGCTGATTTAGATATTTGTGTTAATGAGCAGTTGAAGAGGTGTACCTAATAAAGCGGCCAGGGAGTGTATTTGTATATGTGTGTACTTGTGGTGTTCTACATGTCTTGGAAAGATTTGCTGCCTTAAAATATACACATATTTTCCCCTTTTAGGTGGCCATGAGGACCTGGACCGTCGGGTGTCACAGCACAGTCTTGCTGAAACCGCAAAACTTGGCAGCAAAACAGCCTTAAACAGACGGGTAAGGAGACAGTTAGCCATTTGTAGGCTGTTGCATACAGTTTACAATATCACTGCAGCTGGACATCTTTATTTTATGTTACTCTTCCTCACATCGGACATGCCCACCTGTAAAATTCTCAGAAAAGGAAAGCTTGCAACCATTAAATGATGGATAAATAAAAGCACACGTCCTATTCTTAAGTACACTTGGAAAGCAAATCCTTTGCCTAGATGGCTGAAAAGTCGGTGTGTTCTTCAAACATAGGAAATATGGTGCCTGACCAAACCCTGCTCTTCTCATTACTTGTAGCCCGGGCCGATGACCATGCTGGCCAGATTATAGTCCAGTTTTTGGGAATGGGGAAATCAGAATTGTGTTGGATTTCCAGAGGCTGATGCCGAAGGTTTATTATATTTTCTATCGTGACCATTTTAGAAAAGTAATGTTGGCTGGGACGTAGCCCGGGCTGCATTGACTTTCTTATGGCATTAATGAAAATAAAAACCTGCTGCACTAGAAACTTGGAAAATCAAAGACTGAGAAGGTCTGGCTGTCTGCAAGTAGTTTACCAGAAAGGAAATTTGTGATTTGTGCAGCCTGTTTTTAATGCGTATTTAGAAGAAGTAATATTTTATCCCCTTATAACTTGTTTAAACTGCACTACACACCATTTAGCTTTCACAATATTACATTATAACGGACATTGGTTCTTGGAATTTTTATTTCTGAATGGCAATGACAAACTGAGAACCTGTTTTGCTGGGAACCCTTTTTCCCAGACTCAGAGATGTGAGATGCAAGGGGATTGAGCTCTTGGAAAAAAAGGTGCAGTCCCAGGCAGGCCCGTAGAAGCGATTTGGCGGCAGCTGAGCCGCCAGAATCGCTTCTACTGTAAAGCAGACAATCAGCTTTACAAGTTTTAAACAGAGTCCCGACTGCTTCTCTGTTGGATATGGCCCTGATGCCAATTGACGTCCTATAATCGTCACTAGTCATTAAGGGGTTAAAGTGTATGTTTAGTCAAAACTTTTTTTTTTTTAAATAGAGTGGAGAAGGGTTTTGAGCGCCTGTCAAATTTTTTAGAGTGTTAGTGAGAGATTTCCCTCACTTCCTGTCCTAACATTTTACCACACCGGAAGGGAGGGGCACTCTTCAACAGCAACACAGACAAATACAAATGTGTTTCTTTCGTAGAGCATTGGAAGGCTAGAACCATCTGTCTGTGTCACTGTTGAGGATTTTCCCTCAAGTTCTGTCCAGTGAAACTATTGTCGTCAGCACAGGAACTAAGGGGAAACCTCCTAAACAAAGCCAGGTATAGCAGTAACAAATGAACAGGATTCCTTATCCTTCCCCGCTGTATCTTAAAAGAAAAAAAGATTTTGAAGCTGAACTCTAGGGAGATGTAAACAATACAAATGAGCAGATTTTTTAAATGGAAGCCGTGTTAGCACCTGAATGTGAGTGATCAGCCTTCTGCAACCCACTATACAGAATTGTGAAGTGGGATGGAAAGAAACACCAGGAGAAGCCAATCAGTTAATGTGTTGAAAGGGAGCATACAGATAGGAGGAGAAAGAGTGACAGAGAGATGAGCTGATCACTGTGCTGCTTCTCCTTCACTGTCCAGTCACAAGCTGAGTTCTGAGGATGTGGGCTGAATGATACTGACCATCATTCCACCCAGAAGACTAAGGACTTCCTGTGGCAGGGAAGTACTGTGGGAGACAGCTCCATGTTAAAGTTTAGCATTGAGACACAATGCTTTTTCTTTTTTTAAACATTTAGGTTTTTTAATTTCTTTATCATTTATTGAGTGACACAGCTTAATAGTAAGAAACCTAGGGTTATATTGCCGCCAACAGGAGAAATGAATACTAAGCACATAAAAAACTGAAGGCCAGACCCCTAGAGTCTATAGCTCCTACCACCTCCCTCCTGCTCAGTTTTGCTTAGCATCCTTGGGGCAATGGATGTTTCCTTCCTTTCTGCTATATTTTTTTTTGCTTAAACTGGAAGATTGTTCCTGCTGTTAACAGGGGGATGGGTGTTTCTTCTAGTGGTTCAGGCTGGATATTGGAAATCCTGGAAGACCCGTGGGTCAAAGAGCCCAGGTTTTCCAAGTTCATTAAATATACTGGTGTTTTCTCTTTGACGCTCCTGCAGATGGCAGTGACAACCAGCACTGGACCAGTCCAGTACACCTCGGTGTTTCTTGCAGAGTCGTCAAGATCAGAGCTGTGGCTGCTTTGCCTGTCACCATCTCTGAATGCTGGCTTGTTCTGAGTGTCTAAAGCAGGCCTTATGCTGTGTTGGGTACCTGAGGCATTGAGTGTGTGTGGATCTTGCCACAGAAGCAGCTGTAGCTGACTGGTCCCTGCTTCAGGGGTATAGAAGACCACGGTCTGGACTTGTGTATACCTTTTTAATGGTGGCCTAACTTGTTCATTGGTATTGGGGGTATTGTATTTGTTCTGGCATCAGTGCACGATTTATGCCCAAACATCATTTTACATTTCCTGCTGCCTTCTTCCTCTCTGCTTTTGGTGAAACATGCTTGTGAAGGTAACGGCATGTATGTGCCCAGAGCCATCTTTTCTTCACTAAGAGGATTTTATGGCACATTCCTTCCTTTGTATTGGTATGGCAGTAGGGATACAGCAATTTCATCTCAGTCAACAGACTAAAGTAATATGTCACTTTGGAGAATGGGAGGAGATATGTAGTCTTTTTGACTAATTAATTGTTAGCATGATGTGTAGCCAAACGAAAGGATAATCAGGACCTAAATTGCATTATGTGCAGGGCTTAGCTGGGCGCTGGGGAGGATCGTGCCTTCTGTGTTTTTTACAGATCCCAGTTGAATCCACCGGTGTCAGCAGCCATTTCTGACCCCTCCCCCCTTTTCACCTCGGGCATCTTATTCTTCTTCCTGTCTTACAAATGAGGCGTTTTCTTCAGTTATGCAAGGTTTTATGTCTCAGTGGTGCCCCCTGATGGCAGGGTTTTGAATTGTCCACCACCGCCTTCTCCATCGTAATTTAAAGCAGAGATTACTAATGGACCCACTGGAGGACTCCTGGGATTCCTTAGAAGAAGAGATTCCACCAGCCGAATTCCAGTAAAAAATTGTTTCACCAACATAGAAGGAAACTGTGTTCTTTCTAATCAAGGCCGTAACATTCCCCTGTTCCTTCCCACATCATGGACCTAAATGCTCCAGCAAGGTTTTTTCTTCATCATCCACTATTCAGTGTTTTCATCTTCGAAGATTCTATAAGCCCAGACAACAGTTCCTTTCCCCTAAGTGGTTCCTTTACAAATGAAAAGGAAATGCTTCTATTCTTGGCTTCCATTCTTTGTTATTCAGTCGGATTTTATTCGCCGTTCATGTGAGTAGCTTTTTAATAAAGGGATCTTTTGCAAAACACAGTGAGCACTATGGTCTTCATCCACTTCGCTGTGATCGCTATTTTTGAGCGATAACAACATATTAGCGCTGTGCTGGGAGAACACTGTTGGAAGGACAGCAAATAGGAGACAGCTCTGGATAGTGGGGCGTAGATCCCCACCTCATCAAAGGGGGAGCAGCGCCCTCAAACCCTGCATGAGGATTTGTGTATAAGGTGAGCTGCATTCCATTTGGGACGCACAAGGTGTCTTGTTATCCGGTGGTGGACACACTACTTGCAAATCTGTTGCACATAATCCTATTTTCCCTGTGTGAAGTGAATTACATACATCAATGTCTCTTAAGAAGGACTTGCGTGAAATTCAACTTCCTTGAGACTGCTTCATAGTTGTTGTGTATAGTATATGTAAATGAACAAAGAGTCCGTCCGCATTCCTCGCAACGCTCCCGGACCGTAAGAAAATTGGTGCTCGCAGTGATGACCACGGATGGCGCCGTGCAGACACAGGGAAGAGGATAAGGATCACCAGCACTCAGCAATATCATCAAGTAGGTCCATTTTATTTGGACAAAGTCACAAATAAATGGACCTACTTGATGATATTGCTGAGTTCTGGTGATCCTTATCCTCTTCCCTGTGTATAGCATATGTTTTGTTTTTTTGGATACTCTGTATCATTGTCGAAATCCACTGGTTACTGTTGTACATATTGTATACACTGGAAAAAAAAATCTTATGTACATATCAATCTCACGGCACTTTTCATTTATAAAGCTTTGAGGTTTGTGTTGTTCACCTAGGATCTTACAGGCTATTCATCTAGCATCACCAATGCTTGCGTGCTAACAAACAAATACACTTGTTGGCGCAAGATTTTCCTGTGTGAAATGTATACCGTAAGTGGTTGCTGGCACTCTAGGTTGCTAGCTGGATTAAGTCTCGGGTAACCTCCTCCTTATCCACATCCGGACACTTTGGCTTAAAGGATATTTAAACCCTCAGCAGTTTTTGCATATATCTGCTACTAGCAAGCAGTAGATATATGCAGAAACATGAAAAAAAAAAGTTCTGAAAAAGGTTTAAACTTATCCGTGTCTCCGCCACGCGCTCCTGTGCGAAGGTCTGAAAAATCTCGGGCGGCAGCAAAGGATGATGGGGCGGGCGCATGCGCAGTACAGATCTTCGGCCGGGAGACGTGAAAAGACACGGGGTTAGTCAATGCAGGCAGCGTGCACTTGTATAGACTCCGTGGGACAGGAAGGGACACGAGCCAGCACTGGATCAGCGCTGGAGGGACTCCTGAAAACTGCAGGAAAGAAGAAGTTGATTGGATCCAGAGGCATCATTTAGGGCTTGTTCACACCAAATGCAGACCAGATCTGCATGAGTTTCTGCACATGCAGTGCAGTGGGTTGGGCCGTTTTTGGTAAAACATTTTTTTTTGTGTGTGTTTTTAAAATGGGCTTTCAGTGCGTTCCAGGGCATTTGCTTGTGTTTTTGATGTGTTTGCATGCATTCCAGAGCAGGTAAAATAGGGCTTGCTGCAGTTTTTTTTACATGCTCTGGAACTGAGCGCTGCGGTATGAACTAGAGCCCAAAATACCATTGGAATACATTGGACGCAGTTTTGATCCGTTCTGTGACTGCTCTGCTCCTGGAACGCACTTGGGGTGAGCAAGGCCTTAAGGTAAGTGCATACACCAGCATGGGGGTAGGAAGTATCCTTTAATGTCACTTAAGTACTAGATGGCCTAGTTACGCCTTCCCTTCATAGCAGACCGCTTTTTTGGCTGTTTGCTGAGTGAAATCCTTAAAAGTGCAATGGGGGTAAGAGTACTTGCTTATCCCAGGCACGCAGAAGCTAAGGATTAACGATGCTGGTTGACACCTTCCTGTCCTGCATCAAAACCCCTTTCGTTCCTCTCAATCGGGTTCCATTTCCTGGGCCCAAAAGCCTTCTTCCACTTCTTCAGGCTCTTGGGGTCATTAATGTTCATGGCAAACCAAAGGATCCAAGCCTGCGGATAAGTCCATGAACACATGAAGGTGCGCTACAGTTATTTCCATCAGAGGTGGGGGATGTCTGAGGACTTTGTCATGGAGTTGGAAAGCTCACAAAGGGTGCAAAATTGTTACACGTCTTGTTCTCTTTTCTTCCCATGTCTTAGCAATGTGGACGGACCTCCTTTCATCCTTTTCAGGGATTGTTTACTCCACTTTCCTGTTTTAGTTTGCCGTTCTTCAATTTGGACCACTTTTGTATGTCTCTAGGTTACTTACTATCCTGCTATGTCCCTCCAAGGGATGATGTAGAAAATAGGGCTTTTGTACTTGGTGTAATAGCCTTTTCTCTGAGTCCATTGAGGGGCACAGCTCTTGTTCTGTCTTTGGAGTACGCTTTTTTGGGGGGGTGTATGGGGGAGGTTATCGCCTCTAGGGGGCTGGCATTCAGTTTGGTAGTGTCATTTTCTAGTGTAAGCTTCAATAAAAGGATTTTACAGCAAGTACAAAAATCACATTAACTATTTTATTTAGTTAAAAAAATTTGGGCAGTTCATTCATTTCACTAATCTTTTGCTTTTTTTTTTCTAACATGATTTTTTTTTTTTCCTAGGATACCTATCGAAGACGTCATATACAGAGATCAGTTACTCGACAGATGTCCTTTGACCTCACCAAACTATTAGTGACAGAGGACTGGTTCAGTGACATCAGTCCCCAGACAATGAGAAGATTGTTAAATATTGTTTCAGTTACAGGTAATGAAGTGAGGGGGTGCCGGAGTGGGGAAGTCTCCTAAAATAGATTTGAACTTGAATGATGTAAAAGTTTCTCTTCATGTACGCATGTTAAAGTGACTACACATATACAAGGGCACAAATTGCTGACATTTCCACTGACAAATCGGTGCTGTTGTGCAGCGGTCACCAGCTACAGTATGTTAGAGACATTTCAGCTTTTGTCATTGTACAAAGTGCACAGCTTCCAGTTCTTTGTGTTTTTAAATTAAGTCGGCTATTATAAGATGAACTACATATCGAGAACACATTCAAACGTTCAGTTGCAGTCTTGAAACTGGCCTTGGCTGCCTCTCAGCAAGGTATACAAATCATGCCCATTTCTATTTTATGTTTGGCCTGTGCAGCCTTAAGGGTAACCTGTACTGTGGCAGTATGGTGATTGCTTCTGTTGTCCTGTCCTTCTGAAAATGATAGTTGCTTGGTTGGCATTATTTATCATCATCATCCTCATGTCTGTGAAGGTTCTCATTCATCCAGGTCCTGGTATATATGTAAAAAATAAGTAAATGCAACTGGACTTGCTGTATTTTTCTTGAAGACGTTTCACTGGACATCCAACCAGCTTTCTCAATTCAGAATGACTTGTACAAACATTATCTGGGAATAAATATGGTGAATGAGGAGGTGTTATTAACCTACCCAGAGAGAGGTGCTAAAACAGCATCATCCTCAGTTCTTTGAGCCTCTGGTCTGGAACAAGTATGCTCAGTTGGAGCTGGAAGTACAGCAAGCTGTGTACTAATGGGGGATGTAAAACAGGGTTTGTACGTGGTTTTAGGAAGCACACACATTGATAGCAAGCCTAGATAAATGCTTATTAAAGGGTAAGTTCAAACTGTGAAAAAATTAATTTACAGCACCTGACAGCAACCGCCACCTCCCCCAGCCCCCACTGCACTCGCATGTCTGAAGCCCCTGCCTCCATTGTAGCAGTTCGTACACCGAACTTCCCAGCCCTGCAGTGTGGAATGCTTATAATGCTCACAAATGGCGAGTGCTTATTCCTCAGCACAATCACATGAATAAGTTGACCAGTGAGAAGTGCTTCTGAGCTGGGGACTAGGTCCCAGAAGTAAAAAGCACTTTTCATTGGTCAGTGTGGTCATGTGACCATGCTGACTAATGAGCTTTTGCCATTTTTGAGCATTTCATACTGTGGGGCAGGGCAGTCTGATGTACGGTGTATGGACCACTACACCGGCTGCTGAGAATTTCTGACATGTACAGTAAGTGCAGTGGTGGCCAGGGGAGGTGGCGGGTGCTGTCAGGGAATTCATTTGTTCATGTTTTGTTAGAAAGTGAACTTGCACTTTTAAAGTAGTATTAAAAAATCCCTGAGGGGAATTTCTCAAAACTGCATCAGATAGACTCTGGAGCAGCTGTGCCCGGCAACCAATCCGCTCCTCTCTTTCACCTTCAAATCTTAACTGAACAAGCTGAAGAAAGAAGCTGATTTGTTTCCATGGGCAACTGCTCCAAATTTTGTCTGCTCCAGTTTTGATAAATTCCCCTCCCTGTTTTTAATGCATACATTAAAATGAGGGCCTTCCTTCAAAATGGAACCCCTGCCTTTCACATTCTAACCCCCCCCCCTTTCACATGGGAGGCCCCTTTACATCAGGACCCCTGCCTTTTCAAATCAGATTCTCCCCTTTTCACATTACCTCCTTCACCTCAATAACCTCCTTCACATCCCTTCACATCGGATTTCCCCCTCTTACAATGCATAGCCCACTTCATATCGCAAACCTGCCTGCACAATGGAAAGACGTTGTGCAAGAATTTTGAGGCCCTCCTAAGGAAGGCAGAAAGCACCCCAGGGGTGACCCTGGTTGAGAAAGGCTGGTCTACCTTACTGGAATAATGCAGGGAAACAGAAACACTTCTTTGCATATGATTGCATCAGAAACACTCCATACTGCAAAACTGGGCTACAGGTTCCAAATCCTATAACATAAAAACTTGTGAGATGACTGCCCATCAGTAACAGAACGTCAAAAACTGTTCCAATTTGCGTATGTTTATATTTTTTAGACATTTTTCTTTGTCACATTTACAGGACGATTATTACGAGCCAACCAGATTAGTTTTAACTGGGACAGGCTGGCCTCATGGATCAACCTTACAGAGCAGTGGCCATATAGAACATCCTGGCTTATCCTTTACCTGGAAGAGACGGAGGGCATTAATGATCAGACCACACTGAAAACCATTTATGAAAGGTAAGTGTTTTTTCTTTTTGTCCTGTAAGGGGGAAGGTAAGCTCAACATCCGAGTTTGCAGAATTGCTGCACCGTACATATTACTGGGTTTCACCTCAGCACAAGGATCGCAACTGTTTTAACTATTCTGACTCCGATTGTTGTGCTAGTGACTTATCCCTTGTTGAGACATCTATGCCTGGCCTGTATAAGCAGATTCAATCACTGAGGACAATCCTCATCAGATAGCTGAACTCACCAATACCGTTGAACGTGAAGACAACAGGATTACAGCGATGAATGGTTACAGTATTATGCGGTCAAAAGATGATGCTTTTGTAGCGTACTGTGCAGAATACACGTGTCCCTGTTACATGTGGCCTGTTAGCTGTGGCCATGACACAGGAAGTACTGACCAACAAGAAGAAGGGTGGAGCATTACACACAGGAAATGTGTCGTGGATATTAGAGAAAGGAACATAAACAAGTGCATTACCACAAAGAGTCACTAGATGGCAGCATGTGAACTAAATATAAACGCCCATAGGAAAATGATTTAGGGAAAACAACTACATCAATTCTCATCTACCAACAATGCTAATAACATATTCTGTGCCCCATTGGGGTGGCACATTAACCTTTTCACTGCTACCACTGCATCTACTGTGCCAAGGCAATTTAGAGGCTTAAAACAAACATCTGCAGTAGCTTGCTTTTAAAGCGGACCTTTACTCCCTACAAATCACATCAGCATATCACTCTGATCTGAACTCATCTTAGATTCAGTAGCTAAACAAACATTTTACTATTTTCTTTTTTCCACTTCCTGGCCCACTTTGGCACAAATTATGTAATCGTGCTTAAGTGTTGTACTCTGGGAAGTTTACATCAGCAGAGCATGGCTGGGAACTCTCATCTGTAATCTAATGAGATCTCAGGGAAAGGCATTTTCCTCCCTTGAGATGATGTGCATGGTGACATGTGCCAGGATTTCAGGATGTAAAGGGAGACATATTAATTTTCCCTTAAAATAACCAATGTCAGAAGATTGGGGGAGATGCAACATTTCTAAAGGTGTCTTTGTTGTTATTTTGAAGATATGGGTGTTAAGTTCCTCTTTAAATGTTATCTGCTGATCTATTTTGTACTGTGGGTGGTAGCAAAGACATCTGATTACTTGGGCAATAATGTAAAGTGGCAACCACCCCCCTCCTGGTTCACCTTTCCCCTTGGTCTTGGGGCTTACTGTATTCAGGACAGAGTGAGGGAGGTGAGAAGCAAACTCCCATTCACCAATCCCCTGTCTATTGATGATAATGCAGTTCGCCTTGAGGACTTCCTTGTTCAGTGTGTTGGTGCGTCAGACAGCAATGCTGCAGACCGGTCACTCTCTGTTCTTGACTTGCATTGGCTGGGCACTGAATATAATTTTTTATGTAGAGAGCTTTTGTGTGCTGGTATTCCAAGACAGGGAAGCTGCAGACCAGTCACTCTCTGTGCTTGACCTGCATTAGCTGAGCACACTTCTATGAATAGAGTGGCAAACCTGCCATACTGTTCTTTATCTGCATTGGCTGGGCACACAGCAGACATCCGAAATCCACAAAGAGCACCTGTTACCTCCACTACCCATCATCATGTTACAGAAGAATCTGTTCATATTTTTCTACCTAGGAGACTAGGTTGCATTTACCCCAGAATCTTAAAGTTGGTCTATACTCAAATATTAACCTGGGGGAAAGAAAAATGTATAAATACATACAAACTGTATAACTTTGTGTGGCCTTCAGATTGATACAACAACTGTGCGTAGAGATCTTCATGGAATGGGTTTCCATGGCCGAGCAGCTGCATCCAAACCTTACATCACCAAGTGCAATGCAAAGCGTCGGATGCAGTGGTGTAAAGCACGCCGCCACTGGACTCTAGAGAAGCGGAGATGTGTTCTCTGGAGTGACCAATCACGCTTCTCTGTCTGGCAATCCGATGGACATGTTTGGGTTTGGCGGTTGCCAGGAGAACGGTACTTGCCTGACTGCATCGTGCCAAGTGTAAAGTTTGGTGGAGGGGGGATTATGGTGTGGGGTTATTTTTCAGGGGTTGGGCCCCTTAGTTTCAGTGAAGGGAACTGTTAAGGCATCAGCATACCAAGACATTTTGGACAATTTCATTTGTGGGAGCAGTTTGGGGATGGCCCCTTCCTGTTCCAACATGACTGCACACCAGTGCACAAAGCAAGGTCCATAAAGACATAGATGAGCTAGTTTGGGGTGGAGGAACTTGACTGGCCTGCACAGAGTCCTGACCTCAACCCGATAGAACACCTTTGGGATGAATTAGGGCGGAGACTGCGAGCCCGGCCTTCTCATCCAACATCAGTACCTGACCTCACAAATGGTCAAACATTCCCATAGACACACTCCTAAACCTTGTGGAAGCCTTCCCAGAAGAGTTGAAGCTGTTATAGCGGCAAAGGGGCGGAGCCAACTCAATATTGAACCCTACGGACTAAGACTGGGATGCCATTAAAGATCATGTGCGTAAAAAAAGGCCGGCGTCCCAATATTATAAGGCAATATAGTGTGTATATGTGTGTTTGTATACGTGTGCATGTTTCTTCAGATTCCTTAGTGTGCTGGTGAAGTGACCAAACAACAAAAAACAAGTATTTGGTTATATGGTCTCTGTTGAAGGGAAAGATTGAAGTGTATTTTGTCACATCTTATCTTTAGCATCAGCAGAAATGTTTCAACCAGCTGCTAAGGATTTTGGTCTTGTGGTCAGCACTAGAGGGAGCTTGTAGAAGCTTTTTGTCCAGGAAATGTTGGGATTTTTTTTTTTTATGACTTTGTATCCATTTTGGCAAGAATGTTAACATGGTTTTCAATAAAGTATTGGTGTTCTTACAGAAGCGAAGCACTGTGCACACCCAGCAGGTGGCAGTGTTGTACTACGCTGGGTGACTATCCTCTTTTATTTCGCTCTTTAAAATCAATGCCATACTAACAGTAATGGAATGGAGTGGATTGTGTATAGTCTAGCACAATGGCTTTCACTCACATTAACTAAGAGCTGCTTTATTAGGATATAAAGTGCTATAGAGGCAGTACGCTTGGTTTCATCTGCTGATGAGTGAATTGGTTTATTACGATGTCTCAATAAATACCGGCATAACTCAGAGTATTTATAAGTTATATGAAATGCTTGTGTACAAGATCACTCATTATACTTTGTGGGGAAGCTTGTTTTTCCTTGATAAATTGCATGCAGTTTCAGTTCACTGATTTATTAGTTTTAAAAACCGAACATGAAAATTAATAAATTTTAATGAAAATATAAAAACATGAAGTAGAATAAGGGCTCAGTCACCCTAGATGCAGTGTGTTCCGGCCCGATTTTGGCCAGAACGCATTGCGGCCAGCTCACTTTTTAGTGGGGTAGGAGGGGGCGTGGCGGGCCATTAAGGTGAATGGTGCCGTAGCCACGCCCTCCGGCCGCAATGCGATCCGCCGCATGGGATCGCAAGGCACATTGTGCCTGTGGTCCGGTCCTGTGCGGTGCGATCGAAATGCTATAAGCACTATTTTGATCGCACCGCACAGGCCTGGACCGCAGGCACAATGTGCCTTGCGATCCCGTGCGGCGGATTGCATTGCGGCCGGAGGGCGCGGCTACGGAGCCATTCACTTGAATGGCCCGCCACGCCCCCTCCTACCCCACTAAAAAGTGAGCCGGCCGCAAAAGGCAGTGCGTTCTGGCCAAAATCGGGCCGGAACGCACTGCATCTAGTGTGACTGAGCCCTAAATCCTTAATGTTTCATTAGGTTGTTTTTGGTTCCTTTTTTATTACAGTTTTCTTTACTATTAATTATTTACCTAAAGAGACCTTATCACCCGACCATTCATCTTAACAACAATCTTCCTGTTAGATTTAATGTGCAGTTATCATATTTTATACATGTTTACTTGTAAAAGCCTTCCTTTTGTAGACCTCTAAACGCCCTGAGACTGCTGTTGGGTGCCGCCATCTTGGATGTGATATCTACAGACTCAGAGCTGTCATTTAACCACTTAGACCCCGTTCACATTGAGCGATTTATCGCACGGTAATTCCCGCGATATCGCGCTCCAATGCAATCCAATGGTGCAAAGGGTCCTGCTGTCGCGGGTCGTGTGTCGCTACAGCAGGACCCTTTTTGGAGCGGATTTAGCCGCGATTCAAGCTTGCTCAATGCAAGCTTGAGCGCGTCATCGCGCGGCAAATCTTGCGATGTCGCGCAATATGCAAATCGCGCGACAAACGCGCGATTTGCATATCGCGCAGTGGGAACGGGGCCTTAAAGTCCGGGGTGTTAAACCCCCTTCCCATCCAGGCCATTTTTCAGTGTTTAGCGCTGCGGTACTTTGACATTTATTCCGTCATACAACGCTGTACTGAAATTAATTTTATACCCTTTTTTGGGGACAGATTGAGCTTTCTTTTGGTGGTATTTAATCACCACTGGGGGTTTTATTTTTTACTATATTAAGGAAAACTTACAGACATTTTTTTTTTTTTAAACTTTCCCCTATACTAAATTCAAAAACATTTATTATTACCCAATTTTTTGGTAAAATATAAAAGACAGGGGCACGTTGGGTAAAAAGACACCAAACATGTCAAGCATTAAAATTGCGCACGCGCGCGAAACCTCAAAAAACTATATTACCCAAAATTGGCCATAGACGACTACAAAATTGCGCCATACAACCGATCGGTTGTATGTGAAACAGCCGTTAACGGCTGTAAAAACGAGCGGGTCTTTCCTGCCCGTGCGCGTCCCTCCGTTTTTTCTTAACGGGCGGGTGCAAGAGGTTAAGTGACACTCCATACTATTGCTCTTTGCTTGTCTCCCGCAGCTACATAAAAGGTTATGTAGAGTGGGAAGGGAGGGCTAAGGAGCTAGGTCAGCACAGACCGTAATTAGACATTCCCAGCAGAGGACTATAATATGCCAGGAGGAAGGGGGCCTGTGCTAGGG